GCAATTCCATTTGACTCAACAACACAAAAGTCCTTTCAGCTTTTCAGTGGCCAGAGCTTTTCTTTTGCAGCCTTGATGTCTTCAAAATGGCTCTTTTTCCCTTTGATAGTTCTGGGAAGAGACAGTTTGTCGGGATTTTTAACAGCGCTACCAGAAGAGCTAAGAAATCGCTCCTCTCTGCAGCCCTGATAGACGCAGGAACCTGCTCGGCTCCAGCTATTTAATTCAGCTCTCAAGGCGGGTGCTGTTTGATCTTGCTTAGTGCAGGGGGGCCGCTCTGCTCTGCTCCATCCTCATCCTCACTGAGGAGCAACTCACCCTGAGGAGAGGCGGCACCGAGCGGAGCTGGTTCTCCAGGGATTCATCTCCTGGTGCCTGGATTCTGGATTCATCTCCCGGTGTCCTCAGTGGTCCACGCTCCCAGCAGCCTGGCTCTGTCGTGGTCTGGAGGTCGGCACCAAGCGCTGGACATCTGGGTGCTCCCACCCAGCCAAACAGTTTAAGCCACAGCCCCCGTAACCTGCAGATTCCTGATTTTATTGGGGCTGAGCCTGGAACATAGCCAGTTCATAAGCTATTGGAGACGGGAGCAGCCTGGGATGGAGGCACTGGGATGTGCCCGTGCAGCAGGCTGAGCCTGTCATCCCAAACCCCAGCACCCTTTCCTGATAGTCTTTGCTGGAGGGGCTGGGGGAGAAACCTTCCCTGCCCTGGGAGGCGAGAAGGAGAGCCAGCGCCCAGGCCCAGACTAAATACTGCAGCATTTAGCTGCAGCGACCAGGCCCAGACTAAATACTGCAGCATTAAGCCCCTTCGTTATTCAGATGCTGCAAGCTGGAGACAGGTAAATAGGCTGGGACTGTATTTACAATAAAATCAGCATTATGCCCAGTTAATATCCAAGTTGTGACTAATCAAAGTGCTCCGCTCCCTATTCCAATTACACTTGCAGTTTGGCTGCACGTCCTTTCCTTTTGTTTAAGTGTGCGCAGAGTCAGTTGGAACTGGGGATTTATGGCAGCTGCCAAACACTCAGCTCTCCAACGGCAATAAGTTATGTTCCTATTATGCAGCATGCAATAAGAAAGGGCTGATATTTATTCTTTGGATTTCTCTTTCCCAAGAAACTCTCAGAAAATCACACAGCTGCTGGAAAACGGTCCCGTACTTCACAGGCGATATCTCTGTGGTCAACAGCGCTGCAAGAATACGGAATTTGCACCTGGGAACCTGCAGGCTGGTTGGGAAGAGGCCACTGTCGCTGGGGGTCCTTTGCTGGCCTCTCTGGATCAGCATCCAGGTGTCACCCTGAGGAACAAGACAAGCCAAAGCCATCAGCATCAACCTACTCATAAGGAGTGGGAATCATCTCACCAGCATCTTAATGATTTTCCTGTGGTCCAGGTTATCTCCCAAGGCTGCAGCGCTGGACCCAGCAAAGCCTGGGCTGAGCAAGGGGGCTGAGTTTAACCCGTTACTAAATGCATCTGTAACGGAGTTAAATTTAAGACACTAAAACCGGCAGCTCTCACACAAGGTTTCCTTCCAGACCTGACCTTTTCTCCTCGACACGCACAGACATCCCTGCTGCTCGGTAATCGCTCTGGACACAGCACACCAGTGACTGCCCGYGTTCCTGAGCTAAGCAAAGTCACCCTGACGTGTCTCAGGAGACAAGCGGAGCACACAGTGCTGCGAGCAGCTCCCGCTGGGATCTGTGCTCCTGGGACTAACCTGCCTGTGGCCAGGCTGCGGGCAGAACTGCGCTGGAGGCCTAAAAGAAGGAAGAGCTTGTCCTTTGGAGCAGATTTTCTAGGCTTTTGAACCTTCCTGCAGATTGTCTCCAGCCCTCAGTGCCACTCGTCAATGATCCTGCTTTGGGYCAGCAGCTCAGTGGAGATGCTAGGCTCAGCTCTGTGCATCCAAGGGAAATAACAACATTTTATTTTTAGGCTGGGCACCAACAGCATGAAAACCATTGATCTGAGCTCATAATTACATCGTTATCTGTGTCCTATGAGATAAAGAGATTTCGAGCTGTAGGCTTTTTGGAAAGCCAAGCTCGAAAGCAGATAGAAGAGGGATTTATTTGAGCTTCTCTTTTTAAATGAAATATTAAATAGAAAAAACTACTTATTTATTTATTTTCTGAAGACCCCAAGTCACAGAAGGTTTTTCTCCTTCCCGGTGCAGCACAGCCCGCACYGGAGCGTGGCAGGGGCATTTTGGAAGGGGATTAGCGGCCAGGAAAGCAGTCCCTACAAGCAGAGCAGCCGCTTTGCCRCTGCTCTTTCCGCTCTGGAGAAGGTCGCAGTGTGCAGTGCAAGTCCCCACAGCCTTGGGAAAGCACTGTGGCTTCCCAAACCAGCTGAGCCTGCCTCCTCGAGCACTGCAGCCTCGCTGTTGGCCATAAGCTGAATTTCTCATCGCCTGCTCCAGGAGCAGAGCAAGWGCCCAGCACCCTGTCAATGTCTTCAGCCCAGCACCCGTTCCGCTGGAGGGATCTGCTTCGCTCTGCGCACCGTTTCTGCAGCAGTTCCYGTCTAATTGTATTGGCCACCCTCCAAGACCAGCAAGGGATCTGCTTCCAGGTCAACTGCTTAGTGTGCCTGCTGTCATCTGTGTTTTACAGCCCCCTCAATGAAGAGCAAATCTGTATTGATTTCAGAACAACTAGAGCTGTAAATTACTGGTCATGACTGGCTTGGCCAGTACTGCGATGAGAATCTATTGATTGCATCGAAGGCCTAAATCTAATTAGCACACAAGGAAACTCATCGGAACAGCAGAACAATTCAGATGTTCTGAGATGTAATTAAAACAGTAAAGCTACCTACAAAAGCAGAACATGCAAATAATGGTTCTCATCAAGCGCAATTTGCAATCCAAGGGTTGTCTTTTCAGAGAGACTGAGCAGAAAATGGGAGCAGAAGTATCAGTCAGTGGAACAAAGGAGCTGCTCTAGTCCCCACAGGTTCTCTCTCTCCTTTGAAGCTCTTTCCATTCAGGACTTCACAGTCAACGACATCTGGTGCTGCCTATCCTGCAATCAAACAAAGCATCTCTTAATCACAGAGGATGCAGGGACTTCTTACTTGAGCACTCAGCCAAGGTGGAAGCCCTGTTTCGGGAGCTGGGTGGCCTCTTGGCCGGGAGTCCTTGTCTGACCACTTGGAGTGCAAATGCCAGGGAACCACAGAGAGGAAAAATCAATGCGAAGCTCTCATGCTGAAAAAATAATAAAAAAGGGGAAGTTAAAACTCAATTTCAAGGCTACTAGACACCTCTGGGAACTATTTTTTCGGAGGACAGAGACCTAGCTATTTCCTGCCGCTAAAGATCTAGAAGAGAACAAGCTTTATCAACAGACAAAGGGGAATTCAATTGGCCCTGCTGTTCCTTTAGCTCACCCAGTAATTACCGAGACAGTCCCTTGCTCTTTCTTCCATCCACTGCACCTGAAATACCACCACTAGCAGAGCTACCGATAGCGAGCACGCTTAGCGCTTTGCCATCTCTGGAAATGACCCGTTTTCTTTACTCCAACCTTTTAACATCCAGTGTGCAGCATGACATCCTGGAAAGCTTCATGATCATTGTCCTCCTAAGCGCTCTCTGATTTTTCCTTCGAATAAAGGACAAAACACTCTGAACTGAAAATCACTGTTCTTCCCTGTTTCCTTGAGCCCTCCACCAAAGGGGAAACCACCTCTTATGACAGTGCTGTGCATAAATAACCCTTGGYTGCTTTTTCTACCAGTGTGCAACCAGAAGAGGAGAGCTGCTCCTAGATAGCAGAGGAATTTAGGGTGCTCGGTGCTCATTGCTGATGGCTCTTAGATGTAAAGACCCAACGGCAACCAACAGGTATATAACTTGCCTAAAACAGTGATAGAGAGGGGAGCTCCCACCAAAATAGCTGCTGGGGGACACTGCCACGGCCACACTTTTCTTCTCATCCGTTGCATCAGTGACATCTGCTGCCATCCACGGGCACTGACGCTGGTACACAGCATCATGTGGCACATCCCTGTCTCCGAGGCCCAGCGGACCAGCCTTGGCAGTGGCCTGGCCATGGTTCCCACCGAGATGGTGAGGAAGCGTGGCCATCACCAGGGCAGGAGCCACGTGCTCCCCGGGGACCAGCACCTGCAGGGCAGCCTGCTGGAAACCATGCCTACAATCACCCCAAAATAATAAAATTGATGATAATAATAATTGCTCAGGCAAACCAGATCCCAAGGAGGCATTTTCTCTAGAAGCCACCTCCATGGCACTGGGGGACCTGGTTGCTCTTGCCCTGGGCTGAAGAGGAGAAGGGTACCAGGGAGCTGGCTGTATGGGGGGTTTGCTTTGCTTCT